GCCGGGCATGCCTGTAGTCCCAGCTACTCTGAAGGCTGAGGCAGAAGGATTGCTTTACCCCAGGAGTCTGAGGTTGCTGTGAGCTAGGCTGACGCCACGGCACTCTAGCCTGGGCAACAGAGTGAGACTCTGTCCAGCCCTCTCGCCCCCCCCACCAAAAAAAATGTAGCTCCAATAATAAGTTGATTGCACTAGTGTTCAATGTCACTTTCCTCCACATTTTGGTTAAAACTAAGGAATCTGCAGGAGCAGGACCAAAACCTATGAGGTCACAAGGATCAAATTCCAAACTTCCCAGACAAACCAAACTTGCAGTGGTGGTCACTAAAATAAACGTGAGCATGGTTTCCATGCCTTCTGTGTGGTGTTCTAACATTCTAACATGCCTTCCCCAGGTGTCTGGCTTATATGTACACTAAAGAGAAGAAACATGGTTACTTCTTTAGGTTATCTTGGAGAAATAATAAGTTAAGCAGAATTACACTGAATTCCTGCTATATTAACAATCATGCTTATTATTCAACACTACTGAAGTAAGCTAGGGTGGCTCTCAAAAAGTTAATGGTAGACCTTGCCTTTTTAGTTCAAAGGAAAAGGAAATGTTTTAGAAGAAAGAACAAGTATAATATCAGGATTTTCCTTTGGTGGTGGGGGGGGGAAGCTAACACATATTGCCAAATAAAAATTCTAATATTTATTAACTTTACGTTGAAGATTAAAAAGTAGCAATAACTCTTAGAGATATTTGAAAAATATAGTTTTCCAGGAATGCATGCTTTCAAATTACTACATAGGAATGACTTATCACTTTACAAACTATTAAGCAATCACTTTAGTATCATAGAAAAATATTGAGAGACTCCCTAGAGCTCATATGACATCCTTATTTTACAAATAGGGAAACTGAGGCCAGTGTGGGCAAAAGTCACTCCCAAAGTCACATAGTTGGTGGCAGAGCAGGCGTCTCAACTCCTGGCTTTTTCATATTTCAACTCCTTCCTCTCATTCTGCAGCTCCAAGGTGCTTGCACGGTTTTACTGAG